CTAAGTATCTCTGGGTCTCGAACTGCCGACGTCGTCCTCCGCAGTCTCGTACGTTACTTCGGTTACGAGGCGTTTGGTAGTTTCGGATTCTGGTTCGATCAGTTATGCCCTTATCTTTCCCGCTCAATACGTAGTTTATTGGGCTCGCTACTAGAATTCGCTGTGGCCAAGTTCGCAGAGAGAGAGCAATGAAGTCAGAAGTTGGTAAGATTTGTTGGGTGAATCTAGTCTTTTGAGTCTTGGAGGTGTGGTATGACTGACGTATTTAGTTTATGTGTGGTGAGTTGTTAGTGTTTTGCCGTGGAACATGTTTGCCTGCTAAATTTATTTGAGTTCATAATGGCAAATATTCAGTCTTAAAATGCCATAATGCAAGAATCATTGCTGTAAGTTTCTGTGTGCGAACAGTGATCTTCGTAGCTGTTATTAGGTTACGGAATAAGAGACTGGAAATTATGGGGTGTTCTCGTTTGTCGATTGAGTTTATGTGTCGATGATTGTCGAGGAATGATTAAATGAACGCCACGAGGCATTGATAAGTGACATTTATATACTGAGAAGTGTTTATTATTTTGCGGGTTTGGTGCCTTGTACAGTTACTTGAAGAATTTAAATATGTTCGCCTTGGAACGTGAATTATGCTTGTTTAGCAATGCTGCATGTGTGGTGTAGGAATTGAGGCAGTGGGACACAGGAATAAACAGAATATGGGAATAGCTGAGGAGAAGAAGATTAATTGATCCTTGGGATTTTACTCGGGGGAAAGCTGTCTGCCACCTGACCAGCCTACTGCTTGCCAGGAAATCAGTGGATTATGTTCAGTACACTTGGCAGGCTCACTTCATATCACAACAGAAAATTGGCTGAGATCATGAAGGGCACTCCTGTCTGCTACAGATGTATCTTTCTCAATTTGACGTGCATTGTGTAAGTACACGAGCAATGTGATGTATTAGATGTGCTTGTCATGTGATAGAGTTCAGTCTGTCCAATAATATGTGGCACTGTTTATCATTACAATGCCCTTTGTAACTTGGTTGTTGTATTTCTTGTGGTATAGCTCTTTTGCAAGATGTTTGTTAAAATATTAGAGTGTTCGAGCTGTCTGTTAGTAAAGATTCCTTTGCATATGAATCTTTATCAGAAAAGCTATCAGACTGGTAAACATTTATTGACATATATTGAGGTTGACACTGCATCAGCACATTTTTTTAAGTTGAATGGTTTGTTGAGGACCACTACATGCTTCAACCTTAATTTTTAATCTTCACTAGTGTCTCTTTAAGTGCTTGAATGTAAGAGACAAGACTGCTAAGTCGTGTACATGTTTGAAGCAGATAACTTTCGCATGGACCCATTGCAAATGCTTTACGATTATTCATATGAGTTATTTACCAGGAAGCATGGGATGTCTGAGCTAGAGTAGAAACACAGTTTTTTTACCAGGTTTAGAAGCACATTCTGAAATGGAAGGGAGAGGAATTTAAGTGGTATAGCTCTTTCGCAGGATGTGTTCGAGCCGTCTGTGAGTGAAGATTCCTTTGCGTATGAATCTTGGAGGTAGAAGGTACCTTTGCATGTTTTATTGATCTTGATATTGGATAGTCAATCAGCATATGATTATCATGTTGCAGGGGTCCCGGGATCTTAATAAACATTGTGACCACAACGAGAAATTGTTGTGTAGACACGCTGTCAATTCAGTAATCAGCGTGCACTAAAACGCATCTCGTAAAACTGTTTATTGACGTAATGTCAGATATAAAGGTATTGTTTTGTGGAATGGCCTCTGTGGTAAGTTGCATTCTTTATTCTGTTCTGTTTCTGCTTGTTAAAGTTGTTTCATAGAGATTGCTGCTGGTGTGTCATGGAGAGATGTTTCCTCAAGGTAAGGCATTTTGGTGCGCTCTCCTTTACTTAGTGGGGAATCCCCACGTCCACAGTACAGAGTGTCTAAGTATTTGTGACCAGGTTGGTGGCCTCAGCACTCTGCCAGTTTCTCATAGTAACTAGCTCCTTAGCACCTACAGTCATCATTCCATCACTTCTGCATGATGTTCTGGCAGATGCATTTCTCTCCTAATCTTCTGTGAGTGTGGAAATGAGCCTTTGTAGTGCGTAAGAGAAACAAATTTCTTGACTAGCTGAATATCAAAGTATTCAGAGAAGGTTTTGCGTCATGGACGTGTTTAATTCGCCATTTTGCAAGCAGGACGTGATCAAGATATTTCCTCATCAGCACAAATCTAAGGTTGCCAAGGAGACAAATATTACCAATTTAATGACTCAAGCCTCAACTTCGGCGCTTGTTTCCACACATTTGCTCGACATTTTTTAGAGCGGGTTACCTTGGCATCTCACTAATTGTTGAATACCTATGTACGCGCATCTAATTATAGGGCTGATACTAACCAAATGTAACACAGACGTAATTAGCTATAAGAAGATGAAAGGGGTTTGGTAAGCATTTTGTAGTTATTGCAAACCTTTTTATACATTTTCAAGATTTCCATCACCAACTGTTTTGATATGGGCGACAGGAAGTCTTTATCTTGTCCACTGAAGACAAGTTTATTGTTTCGTCTTCAATTACATGCACAGCTGCAAATGGCCCGCTGAGGTCAGCACGCCCGGACTTTGAAGGGTCAGAGAAGGTTGTCAACACTGCATCTTTCAAATTACACGACATATTATTTGCAAATGATATCTTATGAAGCCAACTAATTGACTATATGGCTTACCGAACCCGAAGGTTCATCACCGAATTAACCAAAGCCCTGTCCTGGGCCAACAAAATCCAGGCTCCTTCAACTTCTGTCTCCCATAGATCCCGCCTGACATTATCCTCCCATCTACGTCTAGGTCTACCCAGCGGTCTCTTCCCTTCGGGTATCCCAACCAGTACCCGGTGCACACCTCTTGTCTCATCCATGTGCGCTACATGCCCCGCCCATCTCATTCTTCTCGACTTAATCACCCTGACAATATTGGGGGAGGAATATAAATTTTGAAGTTCATTATGCAGTTTTCTCCAGACCCCATCGTCTGCTCTCCTAGGCCCAAATATCCTCCCTTAGAGTGAGAGACCACGTTTTGAACCGATGCAAGACAACTGGCAGAATTATTGTTTCGTATATTATAATCTTCAGGTTCTTAGAAATCAGTCGTGAAGACAAAATATTTTGAACTGAGCAGTAGCAGGCATTTTCGGAATTTAGCCTCCCCCTAATTCCGTCGTGAATAAATTTTGATTTGTTATTGTTGTTTCATTGTTCCGTAAACCCGCGTACTATATAGTAACAGTATCAGAACTTTAACCTGATTTTCGACCACTTTCTAGGTCACTGACAATTTACTCTGGCCGATTAAACGCACGACGTCGCTTTCATTGCTGTCGTAAACCACGTGCACTCTTAGCTTCGTGTTGTTGATGTTGTGTCCGTGCTATGAATGCTTTCATGGAATATTGTGACGTATTCGAGTGTGGTGACCAAAGAACGTAGAAGGGAAAATCAAGGTAATGCATCGTGGAGATGTTCTTTGTATGTCGACTGTTGAACGTTTGAATACAGTCTCGCGAATAATGGTATACGTTATAAGTGTGCGCATAGTGTGGACAATGGAGTGCTGACAAGAATAGGGGTTCTCTCTGCGTTTCTGATAATGTCATCTCTGGTCGCGACGACGATGGCGCCATCATTCTACTTCGTGTGTTTGGGATTGTTTGACTAAGATATTTTGTTGTGACTTCTGCTTCTGTTTTGTAGCGTGATTATTAATCTTTTCTGTATTTGTTAAGAAATAATTGGCTAAGAGCTTAATATTTTTTATTACATTATCATTTATCTTTATTAAAGAGGTCAATATTTCTGTAGAATATTTCCCTGATTTATTTCTTTCATGTTTTCCAGACTGCTTTTATTTTGTTGGTCTGCTCGAGGCTGTTTAGTCTGGTTGTCACATTTAATCTGATTTAGACCTCGAGCAAGTAAGTATGTTATAATATTTCTTGCAGTGAATTTTCATTACTTGGTTGTTGCACTATTGACAAATTAGGTAATCTTTTTTTATCTTTGTGATCCAATCATTCTTTTCAGATATTTTATCACTGTTTTGATGGTGAAACTTGCTTATACATTTTTAAGAGATTATTTAGGAATATGTTGAATTTTTAATCTACATCAAGGCTGTTTAATACTGAGTGCACATTTTCATTGGATGTGTTATACATTCTTTAATAGTGTCTTCATTTCTGAGTCTGATTGATATTCTATACTTACGATAACTGGAGATCGACTTTTTTATTATTAATATTACTAGAAGTTGTACATCGTGATCAGATGGAGTAATTTTGAATTTTTATGGGGAAATTAACTATTGCCATGACATTGAAAGATGCTAGTCGGGCATTTTACACATTTTTATGGTAACTTTCAATAAGATAATTTGTATTAATGATAATGGGACCACAGATTACATGTTCTGCTGTAGGTTTATAAAGATAATTTATAATGCTCTCTAACTTGTTTAGGAAAGTCAGCATTGCCGGTGGGGGCTCTATGTATAGCTAGGACATATATGTTGGAATGTTTAGATTCCAATTGCACAATGCAGCGTCTATTTCTTGTTATTTTAGTGACACAAT